CCCCACTCTTACCAATGGACAGATCAACAAGACAGAAAGTAAATAAGAAGACAGTTGCCCTAAACAAAGAGCCAGACAAAAGCTGAATACACATTTTTCCCAAGTGCACATGGCTCATTCCCTAGAATTGACTGCACATTGGGTCACAAGATGAACATCAACAAATTCATAAAGATAGAAATCATGCCAAATATCATCTCTGACCATAAAGGTATCAAGCTAGAAATCAACTACAAAAAGAAAACAAGGGAATACTTTAATGGAAACTGAATAATATACACATGGAAACTGATTAATACACTACTGAACGACCACTGGGTTAATGAGGAAATTAAAGAAAAATCAAAAAAATACCTTGAAGCAAATGACAATGAAGAAATAACCTTTCAGAATGTATGGGATGCAGCAAAAGCAGTTCTAAAAGGTAAGAATATAGCAATACAGGCCCACATTAAGACACTATAAAGAGCCCAAACAACCAACCTTGTCTCCCATCTCAAGGAAGTAGAAAAAACAAAAAAATCCAAAGGCTAATAGAAAGAAATAGAAGAGCAGAAATAAATGAAATAGAAATAAAAAAAGACAATTCAAAAGATCAATGAAACCAAAAGCTGGTTCTTTGAAAATAGACAAACCTTTAGCTAGGAATACTAAGAAACCACAGGAGAAAGCTCAAATATATAGGATCAAAAATGAAAGAAGTTACAACAGACACAGAAATTCAGAGGCTAATAAGTGATTACTATAAACATTTATATGCAAACAAAATCAATCAATTATATGCAACAAAATCAGCATTTATATGCAAACAAAATCCTAGATGAAATGGGCAGATTATTAGTATTATAAAATTATCCATGACTGAATAGGGAAGAAAAACCTGCACAAACCAATTACAACAAGGAACTTGAAAGAGCAATCAAAACTCTCCCAAAAAAACAAAAGTCTAGGGCCATATGGCTCACATGTGAGTTCTGCCAAACCTTCAAACACAAACTAATACCTATCCTGATCAGACTTTTTCAAAAAAAAAAAAAAAAAAAAAAAAAAAAAATCAAGAAAGGAGGAATTCTTCCAAACACATTTTATGAGGCCAACATTACTCTAATATCAAAAACTAAAGAGAGCTAGCACAAAGACAGAAAACTGCAGACCAATCTCCCTAATGAACACAGACACAAAAATCCTCAATAAAATCTGAGCAAACTGAATCAACAATGCATTAAAAGATTATACACCATGACCAAGTGGGATTTATACCAGTAACATCAGTATGGTTCAACATCTGAAAAATCAATCAATATAAAATAACACATCAACAAAAAGGAGAGAAAAAAACCACATAATATCAATAGATGCCAAGAAAGCATTTGATAAGATTCAGCATCCATTTATGATGAAAACACTTGAAAGACTGGGGATAAATGGAACCTATCTTAAAGTAAAAGTCAGATAGGCTAAATCCACAGCTAGTATCATTCTCAATGGTGGAAAACTGAAAGCCTTTCCACTAATATCTGGCACAAGACAAGGATGTGCACTCTCATCACTACAATTCAAAATAGTATTAGCAAGAGCAATTAGGCAAGAGCAACCAATAAAAGGAATCGAATTTGGGAATGAAGTAAAGCTATCATTATTTGCATGTGATATGATAATATAGTGAACCCAAAGATTCCATGGAAAAGCTAACTGAAACATTAAACCAGTTCAGCAAAGTGGCAGGATACAAAATCAACACACAAAAATCAGTTGCCAGAATAACTATAAGAAAGTAAAAATCAAAATCAACAAACAACTATGAACCAGAGACACTCTATGGAGGGGAGGGGAAGGATTGGGGTCAAAATAAGGGGGTTGCAATTGTATGGGGAATATAAAAATAAAATTTATAAAAAAAAATCAGTTGCCATTCTATATACAGTGAACTAGAAGAAGAATTAAGAAAGCCACCCCATTTACAATCTCACACAAAATAATTAAATACCTTACAAGGGAGGTGAAGGACCTTTACAAGAAAAATTATAAAACATCATTAAAAGAAACAGAAGACACAAATGGTTGGAAGAATCAACATTGTCAAAATGGCCATTCTACACAAAGCAATTTCTAGATTCAATGCTATCCCAATAAAAATTCCAATGGCATTCTTCAAAGAAGTAGAACAAAGATTACTAAAAGTTACATGGAACCACAAAACACTTCGAAGAGCCAAACCTCTCTTGACTAAAAAGGGAAAAAATGGAGGTATCACTTCTGGACTTCAAATTATACTATAAAGCCATAATAATTAAAACAGCCTGGTACTTGAACAAAAATAGACACACAGCCCAATGTAACAGAATTGAGAGCCCAGAAGCAAAACCATGCAGTAATGGACAACTAATATATGACAAAGGAAAGACTATTCAAGAAATGGTGCTGGGAAAATTGGTCTGCCACATGCAAAAGAATGAAAGTAGACCATTATCTCACACAATCCACAAAAATCAACTCAAAATGGGTAAAAGATTTGGATGTAAGACCTGAAACCAGAAAATGCATAGAAGAAAACACTCCATGACATAAATTTCAGAAACATATTTGCAGACTCATCTCCAGGAATAAGGGAAATAAAGGAAAAAAATGAACAAATGGGACTATATTAAACTTTTAGTTTCTCTACAGCAAAGAAGACAGTGACCAAAACAGAGACACCCTACTAAATGAAAAAATATATGCACACTATACATCTGATGAGGGATTGATATCAAAGATCTACAAAGAGCTTATACAAATCAACAAAAAAAACCCAAATAACCTTTTATACTAAATGGGTTGAATAGGCATTTTTCCAAAGAAGACATGTAGATAGCTACAGACATATGAGAAGATGCTCATCATCACTGATTATCAGGGAAATGCAGATCAAAACCACAATGAGATACCACCTCATATCTGAGAGGATGGCCCATAAAAAAACAAAACAAAAAAACCCACAAACAATAAGGTTGGAAACAACCTAAATGCCCCAGAACAGATGAGTGAATCAAGAAGATGTGGTACATATACACAATGGAATACTCAGCAATCAAAAAAGATAAACTCATGCCATTTACAGTAACATGGGTGGAACTGGAAAGATTATAGGCAAAGTGAACCAGAAGAACAAAGATAAATAACAGATGGTTTCAGTTATATGTGGAATCTAGAGAAATCAAGGATCAAAGACAAACTGTAAGACTGACCCTAGAAAGCAGACTGTAGATCTGAGACAGTCAGGATGGGAGGGAGAGCAGAGAACCGGGCAGGGCGGGGGAGGAGCACGGAGGAGTGTGGCGGTATGGTGGGGGGCTGGTATGGTGGGGGGCTGTGGGCACTTTGGTGGTAGGAAAACTATGGTCACTGCACCTTCGGGGAGAAGTCCCATGTTGTGACAAAATAAACAAGAATGTTTAAAAAAGAAAAAGAGTGCAGTATGATTTTACTTATATCTGGATTCTTAAAAAAAAAAATCCAACTTATACAGAGAACAGAGAACTGTATTGTAAAGTTTACACTATAAAGCGGGGTACGACTTGCAGGTAGATTGTGATAAAGATACATACTATAAACTCTAAAGTCAAACAACACAGTAAGTTATAACTATTATGAGCCAAGAAAGGAAATAGACAAAATTATTTTTAAAAAGTACTCAATCAAAAGACTCCCTGTGCCCCCCCATAAAAAAGAGGGCATGGAGGACAGAATAGCAAGATGGTAGACTTAAAACAAACCTTAGCAATAAATGCACTAAATGTAAAGGATTTAAACCAGAGGTTAGCTAGCTTTCTAAAAAAGTCCAAACAGTAATTATTTAAAGTTCACTCGCTAGGAAGTTTGTGTCCCAAGTACATAACTCTACTTTTGTGGTAAAAGAGCAGCCACAGGCCCTATATAAATGCATGAGGGTGACTGCAGCCCAATAAAACATTTACAAAACAGGCAGTCCACAGGACTGCAGCTTACGAATCCCTAGTTTGAATGCTTCAATTCAAAGGCAGAACTAGATTGCGTGAAAAAGCAAGCCCCAAACATATGCTGCCCACAAAAAATACTTTAACACACACCAATAAAAACAATGGAAAAAGATGTAGCATGCCAATATGAACTGAAAGAAAGCTAGAGCACATGTTAATATTAGCCTAAGTATATTCTAGAACAGGAAGAGCAAAGAGGAAGAGGGCTGCATCCCACCCACCATCTGTGTTTGTACCATCTGCAAGCTAAGAATGGTTTTTATATTTGTTAAAAACAAGACAACAGCCTCAAAATGGAGCCTTTTATACTAAGCTTCATGTCACCAAACCAAGATTTAATTTACTTTATTTACAGTTTTGGCTCTCCCCAAAATGCATTCTTAAATCAGTCAATCGAGAATCACCTGGTCAGCATGAGTGAAGTGATCAGCCTAAGGCCTGACCATCCCCTAAAGGAAACTTGCCATAACCGACCTGCTTTTTGTCTACTCTAACTTCTTTCGTCCTGCTTCTTCGCCTATAAAAGTCTGTCATTATGTGCAGCTCCACAGAGCTCCATTCTCTCTGCTACACTGGATGGTGCCCATTTCATGAATTGTCGAATAAAGCTAGTAGAATCTTTAAAATTTATTCAGTGAATTGTTTTAACGTTCTTTAAGACATTTTGTGACGTGAAAATCATAAAATTCAAATTTCAATGTGCATAAATACAGTTTTAGTGGACCGCAGCTATGCTTCCTCATTTATGGATTGTCTGTTTTTAGCTACAACAGCAGAATTTAGTTGCAACAAAGAACAATTGGTCTATATAGTTGAAAATACTTAATATCAGGCCTTTTATGGAAAACAATATGCCAAAAAGCTCAATTTAATCCACCCTTGAAATTCCCTTTTTTTCCTAAAAGGCCACAACATTACACAAACTACAACTTGGAAGCGGCTGGCCCCCTGCCTCCTATTCCACATGGCAAGGACCCAATCTTGTCCTGTTTAGGCCCTTACCTTGGTACGGCAGACCTTTTGCTGGGAGCTTAACCTTCGTTGGAGCGTCTCAACGCTGATCGCCAAGTCCAGAGTCTGGTGCTCAGCTTTTTCTGCCCTCCTGCAGGAGACAAGAGCCTTTTCTTATGCAGCTAAGGACGCCCTGGACTTTCCCATAATGCTTTCAATTGGCAATTAATTGCTCTCAGCTTTTTCTAATCTATTTCCAGCAGGCCAAATTTAGCAACAGCCACACCTGATTGCATTATCCTGTTAGTCTGTTGTTCCAAATTCTCAAACATCTGATACACAACTTTAGCCAAGGTATTCCTTTCCACCGGCACACCATTTCAGTTTATCACCAAAGAAAAGTGAACGATTGGCCCGCCTTGCTGTCCCAGGGGCTACAGGTGCTCAGTCTATCACCAGCAGTGGGGTCCTCACTACAGCAGGGTGGTGAAAGACCCAGCTCAGAATCTCACTTCAGGGGCTTCTTCCCAGGAACACATGAGGTTAGGGTTGCCTGGTGTTGCCAATAGAAAGACGAGCCCCTGTTAAATATGCATTCCAGATAAACAATTTGTTTTTGTTTTTACCCTACATGTGCCCCCCGTCACACCTGGGATGTACTTATACTAACAAAATTTTGTTGTCGTTATCTGAAATTAAAATTGAGGCAGGCATCCAGCATTTCATGAGGCACTCTGAGAGCTCGGGTTCTTCTGGGAAGCCAACCCAGATGGAGGTTAGCCAGCAGGAAGTCATTAAAAGTGTCCGTGGAATCAATACCTGTGAAAGGGAGAAGGCGGCAGAAGCGGCAAGAGGAAAAGTCAGTCTGGGTGCAGGCCAGTGACAGACTTGGTGGAACCACAGGGAACCCCAGCACGAGGATGGCCACTCTAGCGAAGCTCCAAGTTGACCCACCATCTAGACCTTTAATACTCACACAGCGTCATCTGGATGAAGGGGCGTGACCTGGGGGCGGAGGTGGCTGCAGCCCGGGCCCCTCCTGAGGGCTGACAGCTGGAGTTTATGGGCTGACAGCACTCCCAGCACCAGGGCCAAAATATCTTCCCTGATGTGGAATCCAAGTGCTGAGTGCAACACAGGCCCACTACATTTGTAGAGAGAGAGGGTTAAAACACCGAGTAGAGAGAATAGATGATTTTTAAGGATTTTTCTACTTGAGCACCTCTGATTAAGTAAAATAATGTGTGCAAAATGAAGGGACTGTGGCGTAGAGGGGGTGAGTACCAAATAGTGGCTATTTTGAGATCTCTTAAAACTTTGGACCACTGGCGCTGGTACTTTTTAGAGTAACAATAGGTGCTGGATATGGGCATTTATATTCACCTGCCGGAAGGTGGTGACTGGCATCATTGTGTTGAAAAATGTCTTTGTTGTGGTGTGTTCTCTGCCCGAATAGGCTGGGTTTGGTGTTTGCCTTTAGAAATAGCTCTTTTGGAAGAAATGCCTCTAAAAAATGTTCAAAGTTAGTGATTTTTATTTTCCAATAATAGAGATCAGATCATTCCTTTGGAAGTGCCAAAGTATGGTGGGAACGTGATTATAAAGTCAGGAAACAGTATCTGCTCTTGACTCTGGCACTGAGGGGCTGTTGGGTGAATTACTCACTTTCTCTGACCTCACTTTCCTTGATTCAAAAACACAGGTTGGACTGGGTATTCTGTAAAGGTTCTACCTAGTGTTGACGTCTAATAGTCCTGTGATTGTGTGTGTGGTCTCTTGGCAACTGTGCTTGAGACACTGACATTTCTAGATTGCTAGACATAAAAATCTGGTGATTTTAGAATTCTTTAGATTTCAGAAGAATAGTTTTTGAGGTTGGTTGCAGCAGATTGGAGGAAAAAGTAGTGAGACAGATTAATTTCATTCTTATTTTAAATCTTACAATGATTGGCTCTAAGACTGGTTATCTTTAAATCACATACAAGCTAAATGGTCCAATTAAAGGGGAAAGACTACTTTTCCTTGTGAACTTTTTTCTCCTTTTGCTTTTGTAATATTTTAATTGCAAGAGTTATCAGCAGCACATGCTTAGCTGTCAGTAACGGACAATTCTAGGGAAGGTTCTAGAGAAGTCCTACAGGTCAGTGTAGCAGATTCCTAGACTCTCTTTTCAGGACTTGAATACAATTCAGTTGTAAATTTGCTGTCTAACTAAGAGGTCATTTTGTGGTGGTGTGAAGTGTTAACTACCTAATCAAACAGATGAGCAGATAGAAGCTGTTGATCCTGTAACCCTGACCCGTTCCCATAGCCCTTCTAATAAGGCCATGAGAACAACAGGTGGGCTGTCCCTGTAGGGATGAAACATAAAGAAGAAATAAGCATAATTTATCAAGAATCGTATACTTTCAGAGCATTTCTCATTTTACACAGAAAAATAAAAACAGGTAAGTAACACTACTATATGCATATTACAGATGAAACAGAGGCTGGGAGGTAATTAAGAAACTTGCCCCGAATCACACAGATCTGGTGTTAAATTTTTGTTGTTTTTTTTATTTTTAGCCCAAAACATTATTTCCCTTTCAGTTGCCTTGCCTATACAAATAAACTAACAATTCTTCACTGCATTTATGTCTCTATTTATATAGTTCTATCAGTAGTTACTAGTTTTATATTCTTCATGTTTTCCTGTAGGGAAATCTTAATGATTTCCCTGTATTCTGAAGTAGCTAGCAGATCGTGAGAGTTTCACTAGAGGAACAAGTAATACAGTTCTATAACATTGCTTTGGGTTGTTATTTTTTTCTTTTCAGTATTACATGGAAATTACTAAAAGAGAAAAATAAAAATACACGTGTTTCAACATGTGTTTATGTTTAGCAATGATTACTTTATTGACTAAAGTTAAATAAATTACAACCAAAAAAAGAGACATTTGCCATTATTGTTATTCATAATTGTTCAGAATCTGTGGTTACAGATTGGAAATTATGGCTTTTAATGATGTGGTACACAAGCTTACAGCAGCTGGATAAAAACTGAAAAGCCCTATCACATACTACTCCGTCAGGTGGTTTGATTTCAAATAGTCACAGCCAAAAGCACTCCGTGCAGTTGGAAAATGACACCTGGCTCTTCAAGAATCAGAGTGTCTCATTTGACTTTTCACCTTGCAGCCTTGAAGGTAAAAGTGGGGAAAAGTGTCTAAGATCATAATTCCTCATTTTAAAACTTTCACCCAGAACGCTTTCTCTGTCCTCACACCTGGCTGAGTGATGTGCTGAGACTACAGTCACCTGCATGGCTTCAATAGGACAAGTAATCAGTAAAATGCTGTGGAACAGCGTGTGACCTACCTTTGAGGTCAGGAGAGATGGCTTTATTTACTTTCCAGTGGGAAGCTAAGCACTTTAAAGAAAAATTAGAGAATTATCTGACATCAGAAGTGCAGACAGATAAAAAGTGCTTTGAGAGCAACTTTGCTTATAAGTGACAATGCAAACTGCTAAAACTACATCTTAAAAACATGAGGCTGTACATTCTATTTCAGCAGTGAACCCAAATCTTTTTCTTTAATGAAGTACTGACAAACTTTCAACCATACTGGAACCATATTACTTTACATTATTACCCATGGAACCTTGTACAAGATTCAGCTGTTCCTATACTACTCTGCCATAGAGGGGAAAAAAATCCCAGTCAGAGCTGTTCTACTAGTGAGTCTATGATTTCTCATCCACAATGAAAGGAGCCAAGGAAGATGACTCTATCAAGACTGGGTTTTCTAAAACTTTTTTCAAAGAGAAATATGTGCTAATTCCAACTACTCTTTTTGTACTTATTTGCCATACATAAATCAGTTTAATATATATATATATATATACTATCACTATTACTAATACAATTATTACTATGAAATTATACTCATATCCTGTGTCTAGAAACATCAACACATATATTTAAATACTTAAAACAAAAACAACTAGCTATATTAGACACATTGATCTTGAACATGAAACTCTCAATTACTTTGTTACAAAACATGACTCTGAAAAGAATGTTTTTTAAAAGCTGTGAGGACATGACACAATCTAATTAAAAAGTATAAGGGGGTGGGGAGAGAGGAGTTCTACATACCCATTATTTTGAACACACAACAACAAAAAAGTCCCTAACAGTGGCCTAATTATTTTAGGAGGTGGGGGAGTTAAATTTATATCCCTCAAGTTTAAAAATGTTTCTATTAATAAGGTATAAAACCATGACTCAGAGCCATTGAGAATGGATTTGGACCCAGTGAAAAAGTTTCAGAAGCTCCTTTCCAGCACACACATGTTCAGTGAGGCCAAACTGCTGGAAAATCCTTCATAAGAGTTCCCCTTGGTCCTCTTCCCAGATGCAGAGCTCATGACTTACAGCTCCCCTGCTATACCCAGTGGCCCTGCCTGAACCTGGGCCAAAGGATGTTTGAAGAACTGATCTGGCAGAAAATATATGATTTCAGGGCATTTAGAGCAAGTCGAACAGGATTTTCTTTTGGCATCCAAGGGGCGATTGCATCCTCTAAATCTGCTTTAAGGACGGCCACTTAATTTTAAGCTGTTCTCATCCTGGCCTTCTACCAAAAACTCAAACCATGTAAAGTGCTACTTCTTAGCCTGGAACAAAACACACACAGGTTCTGGTGAGCAAATAGGCTTTGTGGGACATTTCTCAATTTTATGGCAGCTACTCAACTCCACCATTGTAGGACAGAAGCAGTCACAGCCTGTAATACACAAACACATAGCATCACCTGTTCCAATAAAAATTTATTAACAAAAACAGGTAACGGGCTGGCTTTTCTTTTGGGCCACGGTTTTCCAGTCTCCACTACAAATAGTGCCTCTCTTCTGAAAACTGCGCAGTGATTCCCACAGGCAGCCAGATGGATGCCCGCCCACATCACTCAGCGCTGGAGAGCGGAGGCATAGCTGGGGGGAGGAAGCCAGTGACACCCCAGGAGTTGGCCGCTGTGACCACTGCTGCAAATCAGCCTGATCAGAAATGGAGAGGCACCTGGAAGGGCTCGTTTCTGTTTCACTAGGAAACCTGAGCATGTAACTGGCTGTTCCTGGCTTTTGCTAATCTTGGAGCAGAAAGGAGGAGCTGAGGGGACTGGCCTTTCACGGCACTGTGGTGATGCAGATGCAGAGAAAGGGAGTCAACTATGGGTAACAGGGTATCTCAAGGCAGGGTCAATGCAGCTTCCCAAGGCACCAAATCTGAGTGAGCACTATGAAGTTCCTTGCTCAAGCAGTTGGGCTGATCAACACGTGCCCAGCACATGGCTGAAAAACAAACAAGAACCCAAATTACAGCAAAGTTTCTTAGTGTACCATCAGGCAAAAGGTTTAAAATTCACTGAAGGTGGAGGAACCCTTACCAGTCCTGTCGGCCAGCCCTTCTAGCTGAGGAACCCCCAGGAGGGAGGCGGAAGGACTAGGGCAGGTAACAAATCAAGGCCTGAGGATTCAGGCCAGAGGAATCGCTAAATCTTAGTCATTTCAACTTCCAATCTGTTGCTACTTTCTCCTAGAGAATCTGAATTTGAGAGATTTTTGCCAGCCATATAAATAGGCATGTCATGAAATAAACAAGCAAAGTACCTGGCTACCCTTAAAGACAAGTTTTCTTTGGGGATTGATATAAATGGTCCCAGAGAATATCTGAAATTTGCTGGGATGAGCAGCAAGCATCCCATCACTGCTTTAATGTCTCTGACAAGAAACGCACAGGATAAAGCATTAAATGGCCATCTTCCCACGAATATAAGTGCTGGTCTCTCATATTGTATGATAACATGGCAAGCACAGACTGGGAAGTTCTTAAATCAAAGTTTGCATTGATCTGTTTCCCTCCTAACAAATCAAAGGCAAATGTTATCCTCATATCTTTCGTGTCTGTGACATAGAGAATCCCACGGGCAATGAAGGCGTTACCGGCCTTGGACTTGGGGTACGTGGTATTGATGTGCTGCACCACAGAAAATGTCCTCTCGTCCAGCTGTGCTACAAGAATGCTTGAGCCATCCACACTGGAAGCATAGATAATCCAAAGGCCCTTTTCATCTACAGCTAAATTGAAGTAAGTCTTGGAATTTGCAAAGAGGTATTTTCGATCAAAATACAAGGCGTTTTCAAGCTTCAGAGTTTGGGAAGTTTCTTTGCCAAATTCAAATCTGAAATGTGTAAAGAAGTAAATATGAGTCGCCATCCTTGTGGAAAAGGGTGATTTTCTAGAATATTTTTTCTGATGAGTTCCCAGGTCATGCCCTTCTGCAGGTGCAACCACAGTGCTGTGGGCAGCAAGACGTGAAGGACAGTGACTAGCTTGGCTAACAGAGGAAACAGGAGGCCGCAGCGTGGTGGAAGAGAGTGGACCCCCAGAGGCAGAATGAACTTACCTCTAGGTGTCCACTCGCTAGCCAATTAACCCTGGGAAAATTCCTTACACTCATGATTCCTCAGGTATTTGTTGACCTCCTGAAATGCCCTTTCAAGGACTTTTAGAGGTACAGTGGGCCTTAACAGATGATGTAGTCCAGTCCTTTCATTCCACAAATAAAAAAGGGGGAAGTGACATGTCCAGGAATATAAGATGTAATAGACTTAGTTTTCTCTAACTCCAAGCCTGGGAGTTCTTCCGTTACTCCATACTGGGATTTTAAAACAAGAATTTCACAGCAGTCTAAAGAAGAAAGTTACTAGCGAGAAGAAATCGATTTTCTTTTCAGGTTAAGTGACCGGATGAATTTAGGTATGGCGTGGAATCCCAGGCCTCTCAGCTCCCGGAGGCTGAATGACTGGGCAGATTCCAAATCTGGGTTTTTTCCAAAAAGTAATGATTATTCAAAAGGTACCTGAGCCCAGGGATAAAAATTCAGGGACATTAGGCGGAAAGAAGCACTAGAGGGTGCCATTGAGCAACAAAAGGAAAGTAAAATGTGTGATTCTGGCTGTGATTGGAGTATAGAAACTTGAAGCCATAAAGCCATAAAGCCTGAAGTCAGTTTGAATAGAAATCAGGGAAGTGAGCAAGGGCTTGAAAGGCGGTCCTGCCACCTCAGCTCACAGCTCTCCTTCCTCTGAACGCCTGGGGTTAGTACCGCCATTTGCCCCATCTGGTACTGGCTGCAACAGCTACATGTTTCCAGTCAGAAACATGCAGCAGGCCCTCGATGCGGGCCTCCTGACCTGTGCATCATGCAAGTTTAGCTTTATCAGAAGACATTTTCTAGGGCTCACTCACCCCATAATTCCCCTACCACCTCCACCCTATAGATATGACAGCAAGGAGCCACAGGATTAAATCAGGAGAAATGTCATGGGAAGGTGGTGTCTGGGGTGTGGTTTCTGAGAGGTGCTGGGTCAGCTGTCCTTTTCTGTTAGCACAAGATTCTTCCCAAGTGAGGGGGCAGGGGAGATGTTGAGAGGAGGGGGGAGTCTGGAGGAGGAGGACAGCAAGCAGGGGATGCGCAATGCGTCTGAGGTGGCTGGTTTAACCGCACAGGACACTAGGAAGCTGTCCCATCCCAACCTGTGCCACCAGTGACCTCACTGGGGAGGTGGGGGGCAGACACCCAATCCTCCCTCGAGGGCTTTTTTAAAAATATATATATATATATTTATTTATTTATGTAAGAGCTGGGGTACAGGCCAGAGGCACAGGAGAGTGAGAGGATTCACTAGAGATAGAGCGGGGAGCAGAACAGGCAGACAGATCAAAGACACTGCTGAGGGGAGCAGCGGGCGAGACGGGAGAGGTCTGCTGCGCCATGTGGGGATCTCCGTGGCCGGTGGGGATTGTACCAGCGCTGTAGAGGCTGCAGACAGCTTCACAGTGCTCGGTCAACTGCCTGCGCCACAGGGAGGCCCCTCCCTCGAGGTGTTGCCCCTTGTTTGAGGTGACTAGGACCACAGTTTTCACTCCACGATGCCGGAGCTGTTATTTCAGAGAGTGGCCCCGCTGGAGGGCTGCAGGGGCTCCCATCCATCTTTTTATTTTGATGTAGGACACAGAGGTGATGTCTCCTGTTCAACGCCATGGAGTGAGTAGGCAGGACAGTTAGAACCTGAGTCCACGGTTCTCTTGATTTGCTCAGAATGACCTGCTTTTGCCTCTAAAGCCCAGAACTGTATTTCTTCTTGAACCACGAAGACCAAACTTCAGTAAGTCTCGTGAAGGGCAGCAAGAGTTGGCTGCTGCCCTGGGCACAGTCTACCCAGGCGACCACTTCCCTGTCCCTGGGGAAGCAGAGGGAGGCCTGGCAAGGTCTCCAGGGCTCCACTGGGATGACAGTTCGGTGTGAAGGCCTATACCCCTGGGTAGCGCTGCAGTCCCTCGTCAGTGATCTTGGCTATGACGTGAAATGCTTTTTCAGAACAAAACCGATTTGAGGGGCAGAGGATGACACCTTCCTGAAAGAGGGAACTCTGAGTGCTGGCTGCTTTTTTTTAAAGCAGGAGAAAACTGCAGCCCTTACCACTCAGGCCCTGTCCCTCTGGCTCTGACCTTATTCTTAGTATCTAGATCAGCAACAAATGCAGCCCCCAGGCAGGTGTGGGACTTGGGGCTCAGTCATTGTGGTCTGTGGTTCATTTGGTCAGCAAACTCTGCTTGACGTCTGACAGTGAGCTAGGCCCTGGGGACAGGGATGGGAACACAGTCCTCAGCCCCAGCCGGTAGCTCACAGGTAAACCAGACCACTACTCAGGAGGTGGTACCACCGGGGATGCTTGGAAAGGTGTTGTGCCTCCCTCCACCCTGAGACTCACCTCACTATGGTGTTGGAGCCTCCTTTGTGGTAGTAGAGAGAGCTGTTGTGAACGGTATGCCCGCAGCCATGGAAATAATACGGGAGGTGGATGAGTGTGTAACTGCCATTCAACAGAGAGGGCTGGTCACTGAACTCCTTCACCCTGATGCCTGCGGGAGGGAGGCCAGGAGGGGCTGTTACTGGGCTGCTCTGACAATCAGCTCGGCAGGTAGGGGGTGGGGAGTCAAAAGGAGGGTAGCTTTAAGGGTCCCGGTCCAGCCTGAAGAGCTCAGAGTCCCAAACTCAAAGTCCAGCTCACTTCTACGGACTCCGGAACTGTCTTTCCTACACAGTAGCCACCGAGTCGGCTTTGATCCTCCCAGGGAAACTGAATCACCCTTCCCCATCCGAGTCCAGGTGGCTGAGGACATTTTCTATCAGCCCCACGTAGGCCTACATAGCAGGAATCGCTAATACTGGCAACTGTTCATCACCTCCTGCCTCCTGGGTTCCACAGCAGCACCTGCTAATTCACACAATTCCTCCTTCTTTTTGAGCCACAGCTGGTGATCCGGGCAGCCCCTACCAGCCCACCGCTTCACTTTCATGAAATAAAGAAGCCCCTCTCAGTTGCGTCCCTGGCTCTGGGGATGGCCAGACCCCTTTGGAAGGAGGACACTGCCACCACCACCGGCCACTCCTGACCATAGGCCATGGGCAGTGTGACGAGGGTCGGCCTCAGCTGCCTGTGAGATAACATACCGCCTAACCCCACCCTGTCCAGCAGATAAATGAGAAAACATCCACCCTGCCCCCGGGAGGGGTATCAGCTTTTGAGATAGATAGTGCAAAAGATTTCCCTTCTGACATTTCTCCCGCTATATCATTTGGGATTTCATAAGGTCATGATGCTCTTTCTGGACTGTTTGCCTCAAACTGGATAAACCGAGCTATACCCAGCAGCAGGGAGTTGAGATTCGCAGAGATTGAATAAGCCTGGAGGCAGGTCACAGATGAAAGATACAATTATGACACCGAAACCGGCTATCTGACAAGTGAAAGTACCTGAAAAATGCTCGGTCACCCAGATCCGTTCATCGCTCTTGTTAGCAGATTCTCTGATCCAAGTCCCAAATGTCTCTGCAACTTTCAGCACCTGCGTGGGCTTTCCGATGGACGCGATCATGGATTCTAGGGAAAGAGGAAAAAGGACAGCTGCTAATGATGACTTGCAGACAGCCAATTTTGGAATTAGATGCTTTGTTTCTCTACCTGCTTGTGGGGAAAGGTGTCCATTGACTTTCTCATCAGCTTTTCCGACCAGAGTGTCATCATTTGGTATAGCACACGTCTCCCCTGGAACAACAACCACAGTCAGAGCAAGGATGGGGGGCACAGTGCGAGCTGCGTGTCTCCAGTGCTGTTCCCCCCTCCAGTCCCCAGAGCATCCCTTTGGACTGAGGCACCTTTTCCTTGCCCAGTGAGTTCCCAATGTGCTTTTCAGGACCACAGTTGCTAAGAGAACGCAGCCCAAAGAGGATGTCAGCATAAGGGAACACGTGGCTGAACCTGGCCACTCATGCCCTCAACGACTGGGGGGAAAGAGAGGCTGGCTGTCACTTTCCTCGCCTCTCTGTGGTTTTCTGGATGGATTTCCACTTTCAGGGAAGTGTGAGGGAGCAGGCTCAGGAGGGGTGGCCCACTGTGTTCTGCTACCTGGGGCACAGCTTCTCGATGGGGTCACCTGATGACAGTTGGCTTGAGGCTATACCTAAGCTGGGGTTCATCCTCCTTGGTTTGTCACCTTTCACTTAACAGTTCAGACCGCTGGTGAAGAGGTGGCTCTAGGAGGCAGAAGCAGGGAAGGAGAAAGGGAGGAACATGGCCAGTGCAAGGGTGGAGGGAGTGGACTGCAATGAGGACGCTGGCCTGGGTTAGGCGAGGGCAAGTTGCACTTTCTGGGAAAGGCCATGTCCTCTTGTCTGGACAAATTCTGAGGAGTTCGAATCTCCCTGTGGTTTGCTGATTAGAAAGGTACATCTTTATTGTCATCAGGGAAGTGCAGAGAAAAATCTGGTGTAGTTTCTTTATCTGTAAAATAAGGGAAGGGGCCCTTTGTGATCTGGAAGCTTCTTTCTCTCTGGCTGGATGAGCCTGTGTGTCTCTGAGGAGAGCAATCTGGGGCCCTGTTCCCACTCCCCCACATGCAATCCCGCTGCCTCTGAGTTTCATCTGCAGTTTTTGCTCAGGAATTTGGACTTTGCACAAGAAAAGGACAGAGAGATCCTCCTGTTCTTAGTCAGGAGAAAAGGCTCTCATTAATTCCTATTATGCCAACCTGCTTCTAAAGCTGTGGGGGCTGGAGGGTGGGGGTGTCTAGAGAAATGGAATTGGGGCAGGAGAGAGGGTGAAGTTCAGATGCAGGATGCCTGGCAACTGAGGACTCAAATCTAGGAAGAGAATGGCCTCTCATTTAAAGCGGTTTTCACAGTCCGGGTGCCCAACTGCTGCTGCTTCTCTGAAGGCAGGCATGGGCGGAAGGGCCTGCTGCTCCAGGCGCCCTGTCACCTGCTGACCTGAAGAGTCTACTGAGAACTAGAATTCCAAACAGCTGGGGTCAGACCACTCCTCCCAGGCAAAGGTTTCTGCTGAACTCAATCTCTAAGGGATGCTGAGCAAAGAGCTGATGAAAAGGAGGGGCCGGTGCTGAGCGGGCAGGGCAGCCCCACTGCCATTTAACACTGTGCTACCTGCTGGGCAGAATGATAATCAGCCTCCATGGGCCATGGGGGGCAGGGGAGTGACATCTTTAAAAGCACAGATTTGCCCACTCCAACAGCTGAGTCCATGCCCCCAAAAAGGCTTCCAGAAAAAAACAGTGCACGAAACAAAATGAAAGACTGTTCAGCAAAGCGGAAGTTAATCCATAGCAAGTGGGAGGGGCACTCGGCTCTCCTCTCTGGCTCAGAAGTCAGAGCATCAAATTACACCCCCTCAAGGCCTAAGTAGGTGAGTGGGCCCCAGGCCACCACTTTAGGGGAAGTTTTAGCTTCACCATAGACGCATTTTCCATCAAGATGGCTTTCAGGGCCTCCCTGGTGCCACAGGCGGTTGAGCGCAGCCCTGTGACGCTGTCCACAGCCTTTGCAGTGCGGGTCCAATCCCTCCAGGCCGCGGAGATACCCACATGGCGAGGCAGACCTCTCCTGTCTCGCCCGCTGCTCCCCTCAGCAGTGTATTTTGTCAGTCTGCCTGTTCTGCTCCCCACTCTGTCTCTGGTGAATCCTCTCACCCTCCTGCAAATCTGGCCTGTACCCTGGTTCTTGTATAAATAAATAAATCTTTAAAAAGAAAAAAAAATGATGGCTTTCATTTTCTAGGTAGCTTTTGATTCTGCTGCCACTCCTGTCACCCACGGACCCAGGGACAAGTCGTCTGGGCCTCCCAGTCAGGAGTTCCTCACCCTTGTGTGGCTTACTCTCACAGTGTGAATTTCCACCTCTGAAAGGAAGATGCTCTAACAGCAGTGACTTTACAGCAGGGTGCCCCTGGGTTTGAACCCTAGCTCTGTCACTAATTCAGTGACTTTGGGCAAGTTACTTAGCTCCTTGGGGTTTCCACTTTGTACCTACAAACTGGTGACAGTAATGATTCCCATATTGCAGGATTGTTATGAGAACCAAGCACACTAAAGCACGGAGCCCTGGCACACAGCTAGCACGCAAAGCTTAGTGGTGGCTGTGGCAGTCCTGCAGCATTTGCCAGGGCAGCCCCTAGTTTCCCTCAGCATCAGGCAAGCCCTTCACTATGCCCACAGCCAACAGCTCAGCCTCTGAGAAGGCTTCTGGGAAGGCTAGTACAGGGCAAGGAAGAACAAGAGTCTGGTAGAAAATGAAGGGAGAGGAAGGAGGGAATGGAGCAGAGGCCCAACTCTAACCCTGCCCCCCCATCTTTGCTTAGGTCTCCCACAAACATGCTGCAAGTGGGAACTCTGGCTTTGGACAAAAATCTCTTCCTTTTGTCCCAAAGATCTGGTCATGAGGCCTGGGGGAAGCTCTAGAGTTGAGATCATCAGCAGGAGAGGCAAGAGCCCCGGGACAGGGCTTGGTGACCTGGGCACTGGCCGTTGAACATGTTTGGCTGCCGAGGGCCTTTGGCTCTTCTGCTTCCAGGAGGCCCTGGGGGGCCTGGGGGGCCTGGAGGTCCAGGGGGGCCGGGCGGACCTTGGTCACCTTTGGCACCTGGAGAGAGAGAAAGTGTAGGGAGACTGATTAAAGAGCCATAGTCAGAGATTGGGTTTCACAAGAGGGACAAATGGAAAAAGCCACTGCCAGGAGACTCACTGCACCCCTCCTCCCAGAGGTCACCAGGGTGAGTGCTCTGGCAGCTGGGATCCCAGCACCCCTCAGGCAGCCTTTCATCAAAGTTCAGGTGGCCAACATGGGTGCAGCCCTTAGCAGGGGCTGCTGGTTCTAGCACTTTCATAAAGATGCCACTGGGCCAGGCTGTTCAGTGCTTTGATTTTACCCTCCTGTCCTGGACCGAGACTGGTGATGGGAGGTCCCTTTAGCGCCTCTTCCCAGTCAGATGCTGTAAGCCTTTTCAGTCCCCTCCGAGTGGGCAAGCAGGGGTCGCAGAGGCTACAGGCGGTCTCTGCCCACTTCAAAAAAGGCAGAGAAGTGAAGGCAGGGCAGACATGACCCAGCCCACACCTTCTCTTCTCTCTGCCAGAGGACACATCAACTCTGGCTTGATCTCCTGAACTGGGGTACACTCAGGAATGTTACTTTTCTGAATGTTTGTTGTCACCCCTCATTTGTTCAAGCAGTGAGGGAATGCAATGTTTGGGGTATATAGATTGCCCACATAGCAGAAGTGTAACAAGGTCATATATTTTCAAAGAATATTCGCATATATAACTCTAGCGAAACACTCGTTAGGTTTTAATTATTTTGCACAACAACCTCCCCTGTTTATGAAACAAAGCAAGCGAAACATAATTTGATCTTTCCTTGATGCCCTGATCTTAGCACAGTGCCTGGCATACAGTAAGTCCTCAGTAAATTTTGATTGGATGGATAGATGACTGATTTGGGTCATCATTCTGAGCATCTATCACCTTGGCTTCTTGAGGACAGACATCATGTATTACTCATCTTCACATTCATACTCCCGGCTACCAGCAAGGTCCCTAATTTATAAAAGCTGTTCTCTGATAATAAATATATGACAGGAAAGTTTTGATTTTAGAATATAAATAATATCCAGAATTCTGTGTTTTTAAAATTATTCTCCTCATTCTCCTCCATGACCATTAATTTTCATCTTCTTTTTCCACTGTGTCTCTCTGCGGCTCCTACTCCTCCACCAGCCCCCTGCTGCTTTAACCTGGGCTGAAAGTCAGAAAAAGAAGATCGGCATCTACATTTGCCCCAATTCTATGTTAAAAGGCTTAGGATAAGGGCCTGGGGACCGGGAAGAAAATACCTGAGCTTTCTGCTTTCTGTCAATTGATCTCACGCAGCTTGTTTCCTGTGCCGTTGTGGATTGTGCTGGATTTAATAGTTACTTAGGAAAAGGAAACGCCCTTCATTCTAATTCGACCCACTTACAATGTCCAGACCCAAATTATCTAAAGTCCATCTGCTTGGATGCCAGATTCGTTCTTACCAATCCAGGGGTAACATGCAAGTCCCTCCCTTAGTGAAAGCACAGAACTCTAAAGCATGTAGCAAAACAGAGGACACAGCAGGTGCACAACAGGTAAACGAGGAGAGGAGGCCCAGAGCTGCCTTCTACTAAAACCCAGGCAGGTCTCTGCGTCCTCTCAGCCTGGAGACGCTGGAGCTTGCCTCTTACCTGCGGGGAGCACATCGTTGGACACGTCCCCTTTGTCCCCCTTTTCACCTTTCTGCCCTGCGGGGCCCTCATTTCCAGTCAAGCCCAGTTCACCAGGGTCTCCCTTTTCCCCTGGACTTCCTGTAGCTCCAGGCAGGCCTGAGGGAGAAAAAGGATATACACCCTATTGTACAAGAAATTCTAGCACACCGCTTTGTAATGCCGTATTTCGTAATGTTTAGGGGAAGCCGCTTCAAAAACCAAATACATGATACTCATAATCATGGTAGGACAGTGTCACAGTCATAATTCATTAGAGCATAGGATTTCCAGGGGGCTCTGTTGGGACATTTGTGCAGACACCGGCTGGGACAATAGGCTGCGGCAAAGGAGTGAGCCTCGGGGCCGAGAGGTAAGGTCTCATCAGAAGTCTGTGCCCCACGCTCCTCCCCAACAGAATACTGGAGGCCTGGGAGGGCTGGGGTCGCCGCTACATGGCGCCGGATCATCGGGCTTATTCCTCACCCATATTGGAGTAGAGACCAGTTGTCCTTCCTCTCACTTTCTAGATGTTAGAACTAAGGTCTACAGTGATTATAACTGTGAAGGCAAAGCTCTTGATTCCATGGCCAACTCCCTTTTCTGTGACATTCTAATACAAGTGCTGTTAATAAAAATAGCAAAACCGGTAAAGCTGCATTAGGGCAGGCTTTAGCATGAGGACAGTGTACTCAATTGCAGTGGGTGAAATTCCTGCCTGTGCTAATGGAGAGCCATCACCACCAGAACTGCAGGAAAAAAGAGCCAAGACCAACGTGAGGACGCAGGTCAGCCCTGGACTATGGGCAGCGCAGCGCTCTGAGCCCTGGGACAAACAGGATGAGGTCTGGTCCCCGGCCACCACTTGCAGGTCAGGTCAGGACAGCAACACAGGGGAGGAACAGAAGGAAACTTGCTCGACCTGCAAAGGGCACCTATGTAAAACCTAAGGTAACATTCTCAAAAGTGAAAGATTAAGTGCTTCCTTCCCTAAGATGAGGAATAAGATAAGTACCCTCATTACTTTTATTTCACAGTCGCCCAGACATCCTAGCCAGGGCAAAAAAGCAAGGGAAAAGAAATAAAAAGCAGCCAGATTGAAAAAGATGAATAAGATTGTCCTTATCAGCAGACAACATGGTTATTTAAGTCGAAAATTTCAAGGAAAACTGTATAAGAGCTACCAGGAGCGCTCGGGGACACGGTGCCCCGGGGGGGGGGGGGGGGGGGGGGGGGGAAGTGACCGCCTGCCTCCATTCCAGGGAACTGCCAGGTCTGGGTCAAGTCACATGACCCTGCAGTGCAGGGACCATTTGCTCATTTTGACAACAGCCTCCTGCGGATATTGCTCAATAGAGGTTTTGCTCAAGTGGGAGAGCTTTGAGGCAACAAGGAAAGAGCCAGCGGCACATTTTAGTGCAAGGAATCCACTTAATGGATTTGTTCCACTTAAAGTCTCTAACCAACAGGGCTTAGGACCTACTCCCTTTTCTAAATTTCCTCCCAGTCCCATGCCCTTTCTAGACTCTGGTCAGGGACTGCACCTTCAACCCTCACCTCCAATGTGGCCACTCCCCAGTCTCCGAATGTCATCTTTCTGGCACTGCAACTGTTCTCCCTCCAGATTTAAAACCAAATATGTACTGCCCCACCCATGCTTCCTCCAGTGGCCCAGGATTCTTTATAGCCATCCCGGAGGATACCAGAATTCTGAATCAGAAGGTTCCTTAGAGGTCATTTAGATCAGCCTCCCATCCTAAAAGCCTCTCTATACTACTTTCTGGTTCTCCTAAATCCTTTGAGCAATATGGAAGGTACTCACGTCCCATGGTAACACCCACTGTGCTCAGACACTCTGCACTGCCATCCAAGGCAATAATTCCCTGAAGCATAAGGCTGGAGCTCTTAGCACCTTTCCTTTATGCTGGAGGACGGACAAACATTCCCAATGGTTTCTGCTCTTCCAAAGTCAAGGAACCCCACACAGACCATTCCACGAAAGACCGCAGTATGTGAGACTTAAATCTATGATCACTGTTACAAAATGGAGCGAACAAAAAACATTTGCTAGATGTCAGCCAACCATAAAGAAAATCTCAGTGAAAACCACCAAATTCAGCCATGGCTGGGGGTGAGGGGCGTGGGTTCCCTGCCTCTGGTGGGCGATGTGCACTGACGCAGGACGTGGAGACTCAGCAGCTGGAGACACAGCAGAAGAGCCTGCAGGTAGCGGGAGAGCCCCTCCACTGCCAGCCAGATTCAGTGACTGGGGGCAAACCACACCTAGGGGGGAAAGGTCAGAGTTCATGACATGTCTCTCACAAGAGTGCTGAAAACCCATCACTCTGGGTCATCCCTGCAGTGGTCATCAGAACCTCTTGCTGGAAAGGGGTTCACTCACTTAAGAGGGGACCTCTGCTTGAGCAGACGCTCTTTTGTCAGTATTTTAAATAGGCAATCTGGCATATTATCTGAAGGACACGAGAGTCGAGAACGTTGCCATAGAGCCCAGGCCGGCACAATGCGCGGGGGATAACTGATACTTCTGAAGGTTTCGCGTGCCCAGATCTAGCAAAGCTCAGGGCAATGGTATCTCCTAGTTATTTCAGGGTTTTCTTTTTCAGGCATTCATTCCAGTCACAAAGAGCCTTTCTGCATCATCATCTCATCTCCCTTCTTTCCTCCTATTCCTTCCTTCTACACCTTTGTTTTCTTTAAGAGACCACGTGTGACACAGGAAAGTGTTCACACTATAAAGCAGCGGCTTTGTAATAAAGTCCCCTGGGGGGCAGGTATTTAACACTAATATTAAAGACCTTCACTTAAAGGTGCAATTTCACTCTCAGCTGGGTGAGCACGATCAGTTTAAAGCTCCCCCTAAGGAAGGAAGGGGTTATTCTGTCTGTGTACAGTCTGGGACCATCACCTCTGGGAGGTTTTCCCTTGTCTTTATTAGCACGACCACCTTGGCCTGGCGCTGGTGCCGCAGGTACACAGGCACCTCCGTGCCACCATGGAGGGCCCAGGTGTGGCACTGCCCACCCTGCCTGGCTCAGCAGCACACTGGGATGCTGTCACACTGCACAACGTGGCCCCTGGGCCTGCAGGCTTCGAGCTAGACATTTTGCCAGAAGAGAACAGCCAGATTGAGCTTGCCTAACTTGTGTGCTAAAAGCGACTCTCTGCTATTTTTCTTCCCCATTAGCACCCACACAAAACCAACCCTTTTGCCAGCTTTTGAGTTTGGGGTTGTGTGATGTCACTGGGGTCAATTCCATCATCTTCTCAGCAGGGGATGAGGGAGGACAGTGTATTTTTGGCAGGCCCAGCTGTCACAGACTGAGGCCGGGGGAAAGGGTGTCGTTAAAACCCAGTTCCAAGACTGGGAAGAATAAAGAGGAAGGTGTTTATTTCTGCTTTTCTGGGGATTTGGTTTTTAGAGAAGACACAGCAGCATTAACTGTTAAGTGAGAAAGCCCTAGGGAGCCAGATGGAGAGAAAAAAAATACTTGGTTTTGAGGCAACAGAATGTCAAACTTCATAGTAGATGCTAGTTGCAAAATTGACAACATTTACGTCTCTTTTAGTCTAATTCTCTCCAAATCTTAAGTCATTGTTTTCAAATGAATACAGTCATTTCCACTTTGATTTCCTTTTTTTTCCTAAAGCCAAGATTTTTCTTCCCTATTATTGGAAACAATAATAACAGTTAACACTAACGTAACACTTATTGTCAGGCCCTATTTTAAGCTCTTTATAAATATTAATTCATTTACTCTTCCTAACAACGTGATGAAGTTGATACCATTATTGTCCCCAGAATATAGATCTGACATCATGGCACAGAGAGATTAAGTAACTTGCCCAAGGGGGCACAGGTAGTAAGGGGAAGAGCCAGGATTCAAACCAAGTCCTTGGGCTCTGGCTACATGTTGTTCCAACATGTTTCCAGCATCCCAAAGGTCAGAAATGGATGATTCACTCTGATTCTTCAATTTCCTAGAAACAACCGTTAGGCTAGAGCTTTTAAATTCTGAATTCATCAGGTTAGTATTCTCAGGAACCCACAATATGAGTTTTCCTCTGGGTCTCCCAGCAAAAAGAATGAAACTAGGCCACTAGTTAATAGCAGACACATAAATTAATTTAAAATGGATCAAAGAATTGGATGTAAGGCGTGAAGCCATAAAATATGTAGATGAAAACATAAGAAATATGCTTCGTGATACTGGCTTTAGTGATGTCTTTGAGGACTGGACTCCAAGGTCAAGGAAAACAAGTGTGAAAGTAAACAAACTTCTCAACTTCTGCAGAGTAAAATAAACTATCATTAAAATGAAAAGACATCCTGTATGTACCATATCTTCTTGATCCAGTCATCTATTTTTGGGCATTTGGGTTGTTTCCAAAGCTTAGCTATTGTAAATAGTGCTGCTATAAACATAGGGGTGCAGGTGCTCTTTGGAATTGATGTTTCTGTGTCCTTTGGGTAAATACCTAGGAGTGGAATTGCTGGATCACATGGAAGCTCTATGTTTAGTAGGTCCAGAAATCTCCACACAGCTCTCCAGAGTGGTTGGACCAGTTTGCACTCCCATCAGCCATGGAATATTTCTCAGCATTCAAAAAAGATAAACACATGCAATTTGCAGCAACATGGATGGCGCTGGAAGGGATCATGCCTCAGGGAAATAAACCAGAAAGAAAAAGAAAAATACCGGATGGTCTCACTCATAGCAGGAATCTAGAAAACTTAAATAAGGGACCAGGAAAAAGAATAACTGTAAGAAAGAAAATATTAAAATCAACAAACAACTATGAACCAGAGACACTCTATGGGGGGTGGAGGGTGGGGAAAGGAGGGCTTGGGGTCAAAATAAGGGGGTTGTAATTATAAGGGGAATATAAAAATAAAATTTAAATTAAAAAAAGAATAAATGCATGCTCAGGAAAAAAAAAAAAAAAGAAAAGACATCCTACTAGTGGGAGAAAATAGCTGCATATCATACTCCAACAAGAGGTTGATGTCTGAGATCTACAAAAAAATTCATGTAATGCAACAAAAAGAAAATAACCCAATAGAAAGAAGTGGGAGAAGAGCTAAACACACTTCTCCAGAGAAGACATACAGATGGGCAGCAGGCACACAAAAAAATGCTCATCATCACTTATCACCAGGGAAATGCAAATCAAAGCCACAGGGAGATACCACCTCACACCTGTGAGAATGGCCACAGCAAAAAGACCAGAAACAACAATGTTGCTGTAAGTGTGAAGAAAAAGGAACCTTTGTATATTGTTGGCGGGCTGTAATCTGGTCCAGTCTCTACTGTAAACGATATGGGTATGAAGGTTTCTGAAATCATTAAAAATAGATCATAAGATCTAGCAACCCCTTTCCCAGATATCCACACGAAGGGTCCACAACACCAGCCTGAGGAACACATGCATTTCTATGCTACGTGAAGTCAGTCAGAAGGAGATGGACAAAGAATAATTTGAATAATTTCACTCACCCATGGAACAGAAAAAAAATAAAATAAAGGCATAGACAAAACCAAACCCCAAAACGAACCCTTGGATTCTGACTGCAGAACTGGGGTTACCAGAGGGGGATGGGGTGGGGGTAGCAAAGTGGGAAGGAGGCCAGTTGACTGTGGTGGAGCATTCATCGTATTTTGGTGGCAGGTATGGTGTGGTAATACACACATGAAGATGTGTCAACCTGCCTAAACATACAGTGATGTAAGCCAATGTCACCTCAATGAAAAAAAAAAAAAAAACAAAAGGAAAAAGAGAGTGAATTATAAACGAAGGTGCTATAGCGAGCCTCTGGTAGAGTGATAGTGACATGGCTGTTCCCTGCTGCCGGGGTTGCTGCTGGTGGGCACAGGAAAGGCTGACCAAGTCCTGTCTCTGTGGAACACAGACCCTTTTTCCTGTTTTTGGAAACAGCACTTGTGGTTCCTTCTTTCTGGAATGCACTCCCGCCTCTGCCTCTCCCACCCCTGCCTGGCACACCACTAGTTATCCTTGAATTCTCGGCTCACCTAGCCCTTCCTTTTCTGTAGTGCCATCCCTGCGGGAGACCCTGCAGCGCCCTCCTGGGAGCTGACAGGAGGCCTGACTGCTCATCTGAAGGCCCTGGCCTCGGGCTCATTTGGCCTTCGCCCCTACCCAGCCAGCCTCCAGGCCCCTGCAGGAGTCCTGCCCTCTACCTGCGCACCTCTCCCCAGCTCTCACCCTTCAGGTCTGACCTCAGACATTACCTCCTGCCCACCGCTCTCTGTACTGCATCCCAAGACACCCTATTCTCTCCCTCACAGGTGTATCTCACATTGCGATTACAAATGTATTTGATTATTGACTATTCTTGTCTGCCTCCCCACCAAAGAGGGAAAGTTCCAGAGTAGTGGCTGCATCTTTTTTTTTTTTTTTTTTTTTGTGTTTCCCCCACTAGCACTTGGAATCAGCTCAACAAGTATCTGTTAGTGGACAGCCCCACCACCTCCCATGTCTGGTCCTCAGGCTCCTTCGCCAGCTCATCACCTTCTACTTGTCACTAGAGGCCGCTGCTTCTCGGGGCTGGACCAAGCTCCCCCCTCTTATCTCCCTAAGTGACGGCCCTCATCCCCGTGGCCTCGAGTGGCCCTCTAATGGACACCTCTGGGGCCACCCCCTCTGGCTGCAGCCCCGCATCTCCAAGTCCCGCTGACATCAGCCACAGGACTCACAGCCTCTCAAATTCAACACATCCCTTGCTGAGCTCCTGACATTCTCTCTGAACCTGAGCTGGATCCAGGTTCCTCACCTCAGGGAAAAACAGTCATGCTGGACAGAGACCTTGAAGCTGTTCTTGGCATTTCCCGCCCATGTCTTCCTTCTATCCTTCCACCACCTGGTACTATTATTTTACCCCCTGAAATATCACTCCACGTCATCCATCCTTCCATACCCCTCTGTCATCCCTTCCACTTGCACAGGGAATAGACCCTGAGCTGTCTCCCTGTCCTGACTCCCGTGCGCCTTCCATTGTGCTCAAGCAGTGGCTGCAGTGTTATTTGAGAAAGGCACAGGGGCCTCCCTGGTGGCACAGGGCTTAAACACAGGGCTATCAAGCTATCGCCAGTCACTGCAGCACAAGTTTGATCCCCAGGCCCCCTGGGAGCTACCCACATGGCGCTGCAGACCTCTCCTGCCTAGCCCACTGCTCCCCTCAGCAGTGTATTTCAGTAGATCCGCCTGTTTTGCTCCCCACTCTGTCTCTGGTGAATCCTCTCACCCCCATCTCTGGCCTATACCCCAGTTCTTGTATGCATAAATAAATAAATCTTTAAAAAAAAAAAAAGAAAGGCACAACTCCTCATAGTGCTCTCCTACTTAAAGGCCCTCAGTGGCTTCTCAGAATGAAATCACTTTCCCTCTGTGGTGCTGCCACTTCTGATGCCTGCTCCTCCCTGCACTGAGTGCTGGTAGGCTGGGAATCCAGCCTAGGGCTCAGGAAGGGGGCAGGAGGGAAAGCTCAGCCACAGGGGGGGCCCACAGCAGGGTAACCCAGGACAGCACTGCCCTAGATCTAGAGTCTGACCACTGTCTGAGCAGGCTGAGGGCTGAGGAAAGCTTCTAACCACCCCTTTCCACAGCCAGGCTCTTCAAACAGCCTTTGTCTTTCTATATCTAGGAAGGTGGGTATTCTGCCCGTCCCCCGGCATGGGGCAAGAACTCCTGGCCTGGGGCCCTCAGTGACTCAAATTCTACCCTCAACCTTAGTAGAAGCTTTGGTTCTAAGGTTGTTTACCCCTGGAGGCGCCCCCCCCCCATCTCCTACTGGGAGACTGCTGGGGAGAGGGGGTAGAGAATCTGTATCTTTGCTGCAGTTCCTACGGGATCCCCAGGAAACTGCGGATTTGGTGGGCTCCCCTGGATAAACAGAATTCAGCACTTTCTCACTGTCTGCTGCTGTCTCTTGTTGCAAAATCCACCCTGCCTGCCTGCAACCTCCCTCAGCCCAGCTGCCAAGGCAGTTCCCTCACCCAGTGGGAGCACGGGCCTGAGTGCAAAGCAGAGCTCTTTGAATGCCTGATTTCACCTGAACTCTCCAGTCTAAACTCAGCCATGTGCCCTCTGCACCCCTTTTGTCTACTGCCCTGGCCTCCACGCTGTCCTCGGACTCTGCAGGCACAAAGGACTCACACACAGGCCCACACACAGCCCCGGAGGCTTTCTCTCACCCCTGACAGGTGTTTATCCAAAGGTCTCTCCCCAGAGGGCTTATCTGGCCTCCCAATCTCATCACAGGCCCTGCAAACACTCTCCTTGCTGCTTTTTCTCTTTGGTGCCCAGCACCACGTGACAACAATATATTCTACTTATTTATCGTACTTACTGTCCATCTGCTCAGACTAGGAAGTAAGCTTCATGAAAGCAGCGATTTTGTCAGCTTTGTCATGGCTAGATCTCCGGCATCTGGCACAGGACCTGCCTCGTGAACATGTGGTACATAAGCGATTCTACGTTTCCTTCCCGCTCAACACCCTCGACAACACCAGGGATCTCTTCCAGACCTTTCTGAAAACCATCCCTCCTCCACCTGTCCCTTGCCCAGGGCTAGCTGGTGGCCTCTCCCCATACACTCTGCTGGATCCTCAGGACTAGATCACATTGTGGGGGGCTTCTTGGGATAAGCCAAATATCTGCACATGACGGTGATTATTGTTCAGCACAGATGTTCATTTACAATTATAATTATTATCTGATTATAATTATTATCTCTTCCTTAATTCTGGCTGTCATTGCTGGCCCTCTATGGGCTGAGCTGGCATGGGTCATGTACGCCCATGTTCACAGAGGTTGCCCCAAGTGGTAGCATCTCTTAACAATCCTCTCCATCTCCGATGGCTCTCATTTAAATTGCGTAAGGGATTAAGTGTACCATCTGGAAGCATGTTCCAGTAGTTCTGGCCCAGGGCCTGTATGAATTGGGGTAGCAGAGCCAAGGGATGAAGTAGCACCTTTGCCCTCCACAGTGGCCTTGACTGGTGGCTAAGAGCCCGGCCTTCCTAGAAGCCTCCCAAGCACCCAAGCCTTCGGCATGCCCTCTGTTCTTTCCTCAGTGAATCTGCGCAGGCCTTCTCCACAGGCCCCCCTGAATCGACACTCAGAGCCCCACAGACCCTGCCTGAGTCCCTACTTGTCCCTGCTTCCTGAACACATGCCACGCCTTGGTACTTCTGGGTGTCTGCTTGGGTGATGGAGGTGCTGCCACTCACAGCAGGGCAGGGCGAGCCCCTCAGAGACGCCAGCCACATCTCTGTGAAGAGTCTGGACAGCAAATCCTGACAGCTGGGACCACACAACCTGCGTGCAGGCCTCAGGGCGGCTAGGTGCTGCTGTTCTCAAAATATTCTAGCTGTTCCTCTAGCCAGGAGAACCCAGGGGCTGACACAGTCACAGATTGTCAGTGAAACACAGGATTTACCCCGCAGAAAGAGGCAGTGAGAGGGAAAGGCAGGAAGCAACTTCCAACAACTCTGGTTGGGGGGGGGTGGGCGCACACACAGCACAGCTCCTGCCCTTCCACCCTTCAGTCTGCGTGGGAGCAAGCCACAGGTTGGTGATAAGTTCTCAGGGAAACCACTGCCCCCGTTGGAGCTAAACCTTTGTCAGAGTTGGACTCAAAACAGTGTATCCCAAACATAGGCGCTTCTAGGCAAGAGTTAAATTAGCCTTGCAAGCAGAGATGCAACACTTGAGCCCACTGCCCATAGCTTTAGTTCTTTCAAAACACAACCATGGAGAAATGCGGCAAGGAAATTAAGTAGAAAAACTGCCAAAATACCCATTTTCCCTCTTTTTCCATTGGCTCCTTTTTCGCCCTTTGGGCCCTGGGGGCCGGGCAGTCCCTCTGATCCATTGTGTCCTGGTAACCCATCGACTCCTGGAGGCCCTGCATTAAAACATGGAAACAGAAATAATGAAAGTCATGTCCACTAAAGTTAATGCGATTTTCTATAGCCAAGGATGCCAGGTCCTTCCAGAGTCTCTCCTGCTTCTTCCCTTCTCCCTCTTAGCTGCACTGACAGGTGAGGACCGGTGATGGCAGGGTCCTAAGTGGGAGAGGCAGAAGGGCTGGTGATTGGAGTAGAAAGAAAGCAGGGGTCGTGGTCATGGTCAGGGCTGCCTCCAGACTCTGCCCTCCTCAGCCCTTTCTGAGGGGCCCTGAGGAGCCTGCCACCCATATCCTCCCCACAAACTAGGAAGGCCCATGGGATCTTACCTGGTGGTCCAGGTGGTCCTACAACAGAAAGAGAAATTTAGATGAAAAACCAAGGTTGGAAGAAAGCAAAGCCAGCACCATAATCCTCCAAGACAAAGAGTATCTTTTCCCCCCTAAAATAAACTAATTACTTAGTGGCCCTAAGGAGCCAGTCCATGCCTTTTTTTTTTTTTCAAACTCAGTATATTTGTCCCCAAAATCTTTTAAAACCCATTTGTCAATCATGACCATTTCTGCTTCAATTTCAATGGACCAGGGATAATTTCTAAGCTGGCTTCACTACAGATTCACCCATCAACCAAGCAATCAGCTTAATTAAATAAGGTTTGGTGACAATGCAGGCAGGCACTGGTCCAGCCCTGACACAGGGTACGTCTCAGCAAGCTGGTGCCGTGTGAGCCCAGTCCCAGGGCTCCATCCTGCTCGCTTGTCTCCTCTAAATTGCAGGGGAAGCAAGAGCAGAGGCTTCTGTTCTGTTGCACGAAATAGCCTGAGAAAAACTGAGGGCCTAGATCGGGTAGCAAATACCTTCCTTAGTGTTTAAGTACTCCGGGGCTAAAGGCATTCAGATGAATCATTTACACCTAACCTAAAAAGAACAACTTCGCTTCCACAAATAGTAGAGTCTCCTTCTCGATTATTCTACTTGTACATTCAGACAAGTCAATGAGTTTGAGTTACCAAAGTCCCTTTATTTCTCCAGACCACATATAATGGTTAGACATAACATAACAGTGGAAATTTCCAGAAATCCAAGCTTGTGGAAAACCATCATTTACTAATCATTTACTGTATACATCAAAATCTACCAAGAGGCAGAAACCTTGGCCGCTGGGTCAGTCGTATTTATGACCTATCTGGGAAAAGTAGACCTTTTTGAAGCCACAATGGATTATGAGGGAGCACAGTGAGCAAGCCCAGCTCTGGGAAGTCTGAGAGGGTGAGTCCTGGGGTGCTGTACTGAAGAAACAATGGGCCCAAGGCAGTTATAGGTGGGGGGAGGAAACAGGCAAAGAGCTGGGAACTTGCATCGTGAGAGAAAGAAGACTGGCAAAGCTAGTATGTGTGGAGATGAGGCTGAGAGAATACTTGGTGGGGTGAATGCGGGACAGAAGTACTTGGAAGCCAAACACAGAGCTATCGACAATATCTGCAAGGCAGTGCGGGGGCGGGGGGCGGGGTTGGCGGAGAAAAGAGTAGATTTTTAAGCAGGGGGATAAGCTGTGACATCAGTGTGAGCTGGAAATCCCTTCTGTAAATGGAAGTTGAATAGCACTATGGAACGAGATGGATAGAAGCAGGGGTGGGGAGAAAATACCCAGAGTCTTTGCAGTTAACATTAGAGACAAGGCTATTGGAAAATGTGGCTGGTGACTGTAGAGTTGTAGAGAATGCTAGAAATTCAAGAGTGTTTTTCAGCAGAAGGAGGAGCAGGTCTCCATGTATCCATGGGCTTCACTGTGACTGGGGAGGAGGCCTCTCAGGTAGCTGGGAACTTAGGATGTTGATGGAAAAAGGCTATTTTACAGACAATAGGGTTTCTGGAAGCACCTGTGTTTGTATGTATGCTCTTAACACAGAGAATCCTACATTGGGCAGAAATGATCTACTGAGAATGACAACACATCTCCTAAGGTCAGTGTAGCCTGTGGTTACATTATTTTATCACCAGATGGCATGTTCATGTTCATGCTCCTGCTCTCTCCCTCTCATAAGGGGGTGATGTGGACAGCTGACGGAGGTCCAAAGAAATCGACCATCATTCTTGACTACAGATGGTGCCAAATTCAGTGTGCACATTGGTAGGGGGAAAAAAAAGGTGTACAAGTAAGAACCAATTGCATGTCGTACGTTCCACAAGTTTCCAGGACAGCCCTATAACTATTTCCAAATTTCCAAGTCGGGGGACTATTGAAGAGAGGTCCTGGCTAGAGATATGTATTTAGGACACTTTAGCTGTGGCCAAGTGTTTATAGAGTTTCTGGACAAAACTCTGCTGACCCCTAGGGCTGTAGTTTACAGTCATTTGAGTGCATTGAATCACTGGGAATGCTTGTTAAAATGCAGAGTAACTGGACCCCATCTTGGGATTCTAATTCAGTTTGGATTGAGAGACCCAGGAACCTGTATTTTTTTTAAAGATTTATTTATTTTTATACAAGAACCGGGGTATAGGCCAGTTGCGTGGGAGGGTGAGATGATTCACCAGAGACAGAGAACAGAACAGGCAGACTGACTGAAATACACTGCTGAGGGGAGCAGTGGGTGAGACAGGAGAGGTCTGCCAAGCCATGTGGGTATCTCCATGGCCAGCGAGGATTGAACCGGCGCTGCAGAGGCTGCAGACAGCTTCCCAGTAGTGCGCTCAATAGCCTGCGCCACCAGGGAGGCCCTGTATATATTTTTTTTTAACCAAGCACCAGTGGTGACTGGGATGCAGGTCGTCTTGGGTCCCCAACCTCCATGTGACGTGAATATTTTCTGGGGAAAGAATCTGTCACTATTAGCAGACCCTAAAAGGATCTCTGATCCTAAAAAACATTGAGCTATTACTCTTGAGGCCAGAGTAAAATGTCTGGGTCAAAATTTGGGGTGAGATGAGTAGAAACACACCATCTGGAGGGGGCAGGTGATAGAAGAGGCACAAGGAAAGGCAGAGGAGGGGATCCAACAGTGCCTGTGTCCCAAAGTTAATGCAGTAGAGAGCGCACCAGAGGGATGACAAACCAATCCAACGCGCTCAGAGGGTGTGACTGTGCTCCTCTGTCCCAGGGCCTTCTCGAGGGTGTCGGGATGGCTGAGTGGTCCAAGGCACCAGACTCAAGCTCCCCTTTCCAATGTCTTCTCAGGATGCCAACTGCACTGCCCCAGGGCTCCTTATGCTGTCCCCAAAAAGTGGTATTATAAGGCATTATAAGTTATGCTGACAACTGGGTGTTTAGCAAACTGTTTTTCAGGATGTTTTCTCATCGCTTGACATTTCTCTCCTTGAGCATTACAGACCCTCTCGGAGTATGTGTGGACAGGGTCATGTCCATATTGTAGTGCATGCAGGACTGGTTGCCGCCAGTGGGGCCCACACTCAGAAGAGGGTTTTGCACTTGGGAATGCAAAGATAAAATTATTAAAAATTTTGTCTGCATGTATATCTTGTAAATAAAGTCTGCAGGGAGGATGGAGCCTTGGTTCAAATGCAGCCCGGCCTCCCAGGACAGGGTTCCACCTGTTCCCCTGACCCTTAGTGTGTCCTCCCTACCCCTCACCTATCACTGACTGCTGCTGTCTTCCACCCCTGGGCATGTGCTCATGTGCAGGAAGGCTGGGGCTGAGCATGTGTCCTGGGTGCCCCCTCTGCCAGGGCGGGTCTCTGCTCTATGTGCCCCATGTTTCAGGAGTATGACAGTAAACAGCAATGTAAGAAGCCCCACCACAGCAGGAGCAGTTCAAGACTGCAGGCAGGGAGACTTTGACTGTAGGGTCCTGCCAAGCCCTGCAAGGGTTTGCTGGCTCTACCTCCACCCCACACTCCTAGCCAGAGTCAATTAGAATTGGCTAGATGTGTGACTGCAGCTCTTTTGGATTTTTAGAATGCCTGGGTTTTGCAAGGTCTGGATCAGGAAAATTAGCTTTGAATATGTATTAACTTAGATGGGGAACAATACTGGGAATTTTTGTCTATATAGCACATTTGCCATTTGAATTCTTGGATTTGTTTGATTGCTGGGTGAATGACAAGGTTCTGAGGCCCTGAATTTCTACTAAGGAAGGTCTGTTTTGGAAAGCCTTCTCAAAGACACCTGCTTTTCCATAAAATCTGCTGGGGCCCCACAAAATCTGGGCTCAGGGGTAAGATGCAGTCAGAAAAGCTTATGTTCTTTGAAAAGCTGCACAGCAAAAGTCCCATCTATGTTACCGGTAAACTGGCCTCACTTTTCATGGCATCTTTCTTTGTCCATAGCAACCACAGCTGGATCCAGTAAAAGAATAATAGTGGACTTTCACGGTCACAGCTGGAACAGCCTCCAGACACAAATGCCTGCTTTTTCAAAGATGGATCCAGTGTGGAACTAGATCTTTCTCAGACTCAAGCCAAGGGTTTGGCCTGCGGCCCACCCTGCTAGCTCCTGCTCAGGTTTCTGGATCAAGGCTCTCTGTCTCTCCCCAGATGTTGCCTAAATTCAGTCCTGGGTCCTTCATCCCCCGAACCCTCATTCAGGCAGCATGGTCTATCCCCTGGTACCTCTTCACTTTGCAACTTGAACATTTTCACACCTAAGTTTTAATGAGCTTTCTGTGTAAAAGGGAGGCCCAATTTCAAGCTGACAAGAAAGGAAAAGGTGCTGGTTTCTGAAAATCATTTTGAAGTAGCAAAGAATAACCTCCTCAACCCATTTCCAGCAAGGATGTAATCCCCCATCAGTGTGGATGTGACCCCCCCCCCTCCATCTATCTCCCCTAAGTGGTCTCAATAGCTCCATCCCCTGCATTCACAGAAAGCCTGGCTCTCATTCTATCACTATAAAAATAAAAAAGGAAGGGCTTTTCCTATGCCTCTCCACAGAGCTTTTGTGCCTAACTCCATCCATCTGAGCATTTCTGTAGTGCTCATTACTGTCACATGTGGGAACTCTGAAAAGGGACTTCCAGAGATGGAAGAAAGGTGCTTAAGCCCCAAGAGTTTCAGAATAAAGGACCAAGCTGCTCTGAAGATGTTTAATTTTCTGTGAAGACTGAAATGTGACTCGAGTAATTCAATTATCATTTCCCATAAAGCCACAGGATTACAGCTTTTCTCTCTGAGGCCAAGCTACGCAATCAAGAGTAAGACTTGGACTTGGGGTGCCTTAGGGAAGCTCCCTTACCAGCCCAGCACCCCCAATTAATCTCTAGATTAAACCACAGGTTTGACATTCAACAAATTCACCAGGACTCCTAATGCACAGCAGATAAGAGGTACTGGAGAGAATACTGCAGAAAAGAGCGAGGTTTCTACAACTACACACACATGCACACACACACATGCACACAGACACACACACACACACCCTGCAGGGTTTTCATCTTCTACACACACAGCTCCATGAAGCATGAACGGATGTCCCCGGAACCTGGGGCCACAGGTGGAGGTGGCCCAGTAAAAGCTTTAGACAGCTTCAAAGTCTTGTGGTCATCGCTGAAGTCCACGAAGAGTCACGTATTTACACCATGGTAGACTTTTAATACAAAAACATCTTCCCTTTCCTCAGAATGAAATACCTCCTTTGGAGAGGCAGGGAAGGAGTTTCTAAAATCAGGCTCTGTCACCCTTGGGCTTGGCTTGAAGCTGGAGTGGAGGGAGTGGGGCATTGGGCAATGAATTCAGTGACTGCTCTGGGGTCTGTGCTTTTCCGCAGCCCCAGTTTCTAAAGGCAGGGGATGGGCGCCCCCTCTCCTCAGGTGAGAGGAGGCTTTACTGTCAGACTCAGGTGTAGACAATCAAATCAAAACCCCTTTCTCTCTCTTCTGGCCCATCCAGCAGCCATTTTTTGTCCCAAGCCTCCTTGTCCCTCCTTCCCTGTTGATCCTTTCTTCTTTAATTGTCCTTGACCCATTGAGTGGGAGGGGGCAGCAGGTGACCCACCTCGAGTCCCACCCAGCCCGCCTCAAGCACCACAGACAGCACTTGCCGAGAAAAGTGCTTTCTTCACTGGTAAGCAATTTGGTTCTAGAGGTTGCCATTCATGCTATATGTATAATGTAGAGAAATAATTAGGAGCGCTGACCCCCCCCCCAACCACACACTGTATGTGTAGTCAAAAATCCTAGTATAACTCCTGACTCCCCCAAATTTATCTACTAATAGCCTGCTGTTGACCAGAAGTCTTAACCAATTACATAAACAGCCTGTTAAGACATTTTTGCATGTTATGTGCACCATATGTGCTATTCTTACAATAAAGTAAGCTAGAGGGGAGGAGATGTTATTAAGAAAACCCTAAGGAAGAGTAAATACATTTTCAACACTGTATGGTATTTATCGACACTATAAGTTTACACCATCTGTTTACAAGAAAATCTGTGTGTAAATGGAGCCATGCAGTTGGGATCTTTGTGGTACTTCTGTAAGGGCACACTCTTTTCTGGCAAGAGAGCGACCACTCAGCGTGGCTGTTTTCCTTGCTTTCTCCCCCACTTTTAAAAACTAATGGGGAGGGGCCTCCCTGGTGGCGCAAGGGGTTAAACACTGCATTATGGGGCAATCTGCAGCCTCTGCAGCATGAGTTCGATCCCCGGCCTGCCAGGGAGCTACTCACATGGTGCAGCAGACCTCTCCTGTCTCGCCCTCTGCTCCTCTCAGCAGTGTGTTTCAGTCAGTCTGCCTGTTCTGTTCCGCACTCTGTCTCTGGTGAATCCTCTCACCGCCCCCACACCTCTGGCCTGTACCCCAGCTCTTGTATGCATAAATAAATCTTAAAAAAACAAAAAAACTAATGGGGAGAAGGAAACCATTTATGGCTCTGGTTCAAGATATCACATGTATGTTTTTAATTACCCAAGAACTAGTTATTTTCCATGGCTATATTTCTATGGCAATACCAAAAATATTATTTTTCATAATTGCATTACAGTTAATTTTCAGCCCATTAAAAACATCTGGTAAGACTAAAGCTACATGTATTTTTATAATCTAAAGTGTCCCTGGTGCTTCCTCCTGCCCCTGGCCTTTGGCTAGTACACGTGTTGGCCACGTTAGCGGCTCTCGCTCGGTGCGGGGAGGCCTACCTGTCAGGCAGATGCCCTTGGTGCTGTTACACAGGTCCACCATCACCCGGATCTGTGGGGAGAGAGGGCGGTTAAGAGCAGCACAGTGGCAGCGGGCCCGGAAACAGCCCACTTCAGACAAACAGAAAGCAATTATAAAAATTCTCAAAGTAACTTCAGGAGAATATGCAGAAGTCCGAGGTGAAACTAGCCTAAAACTGAGAGACATCCTCAAAAGATCTAAAGATACAGGGTACCAGTAGCTCATCTATCAACGTCTCAGCAGAACCTCTTTGGTTTCTATCTGAGAAGACAGAGAATGGTGAAGGAATCGCCAGATCCAATTTTCCAGGCTGTAGTGAGTTGGCACCGACATCTGAACAGGCCTGAATATCAAGGGTCTGAGGTATAATGTTTAGGAGTGAACACTTACCAGTTGGGTGAGCACAGAGATGGCAGTTGCCTTTGGTTTCCTGATACTTTAGTTTTCCCTGAAAAACATAGACACTACAAGCACCACTCTGGAGGGCTAAGCCAGCCACAGCCTGGCCTGTGGAAAGTGGCCCAGACGGTCTAATGCACCCGGGCACCTACTCACCATGGATAGCGATCTGCGGTCACCGCACCAAGTTATCCCTCTGCTGCCTGGTTCCCACACACCCGCTCTATGCCCTTCCCCATCCTTTCTCCACAAAAGCCATATCTGATAGATCAGCCCCGATTCAAACACTTTTGTGATTCCTGGCTGCTGTAAAGACAGAGCAAAGGTTGACCTTGTCTGGCCTCATTCCACCCTATTCCCCACTCCCTCTCTGTCCTGCAGCTAGTCTTTGCCTCCTTTCATTCACCTGTAGAATGGAGACCGCACCGGTGCTTACTTCTTTGGATTCTTGTGAAGATTAAGTAAATTATGAATTTAAGATGATCTGAAGTTCTAAGCACAGTGTCTGGCATGTAGAAGCACATACCCAAGCGTTTTCCGTTTCGTGGAGACAGCACGGTGTGGGCAGAGCATGGATTGCGAAGTCAAACTGTGTTTGAATCATGACCTTGCCACTCCCATGCAGTGTGACCTTGGGAAGGTGACAACCACTCTGCTCCAGTGTCCCACTGGTAAAAGGAATGACCAGCACCTACCTTCCAGCATGATTATGTGGTTTAAATGAGCAAATACATGCAACATGCTTGGAACAGGGCCTGGCATCATAAGCACACATTTTAAGCTACTGTTTCAATGATTCCTTGAATGTACCAGGAATGACTTAGCTAATTAATTAATTTACCATCCAAGAATTTTCAGTATACTAACAGAACAATTTTAGACCCCAGCAACATGGCATTTTAAAACGGTGGGGGAAAACTTATTGGTTAAAATTAGAATTGAGACTGCTAAATGGACATCTATAAAAAGTCAAAAAAAGGGCCTCCCTGGTGGCACAAGTGGTTAAGTGCCAGCACTTTGAAGCTATCAACAGCCACTGCAGTAGGAGTTCAATCCCCGGCGAGGGAGGTGACCTACATGGTGCAGCAGACCTCTCCTTTCTCACCTGTTGCTCCCCTCAGCAGTGTATTTCAGTCAGTCTGCCTGTTCTGTTCCCCATTCTGTCTCTGGTGACTCCTCTCACTCCCTTATACCTCTGGCCTGTACCCCAGTTCTTGTATAAATAAATAATTCAATCTTTTTTTTTTTTTTTTTTTTTAAGAGGCATGTTTTTATTTATTTATTTATTTGTTTGTTTGTTTGTTCGTTTACACATGCACTGGGTACAGTCAGAAGCGTGGGAGGGTGAGAGAATTCACCAGAGTCAGAGCGGGGAGCAGAGCAGGCAGAAGGACCGAAGTACACTGCTGAGGGGAGCAGCGGGCGGCAGGAGAGGTCTGCGCGCCATGTGGGACCCTCCTCCTGTGGCCGGGGAGCAGCCAGGGATCGAACCGGCGTCGCAGAGGCTGCGGGCAGCTTCGCAACCCAGCGCTCAACCGCTGCGCCACCAGGGAGGCCCAATAATTCAATCTTAAAAAAAAAACAAAAGAAAGTAAAAAAAAAATGGGTTCATCCTTTACTCTTTGTACTAAATAAGTTAAGTTATACCATGGTATTCATGTAGGTAAGTCTTTTTCTAAGAAACAATCTCCATAAAATATATAGAAAGGGTGTGACAAATTGGACTAATAATTAAAAATTTCTGCATAAGAGCATCACTAACAAAAGAGACAAGCTCAGAAAAATAATTGCAAAAGGTAGTATGTAAAGAGCTGTCACAAGTCAACAAGAAATTAGAAACCAAGAGAACACAGACAGGAAAAGAAAAGAGAACCTCACCTTCACTTACAGTTTGAAGAAAGTTAAGTTACAGTTAAGTTCAAACAATGAAATGTGACTTTTCACCTCTTAGGATTATAAGCAAAAAGACGAACAGTGCATCAATGAAGAGGGTGTCGGGTCAGCCGCGCCCTTAGGAGCTGTTGATGGAAGTGGAATGGACATTGTCTCTTTGGAGGACATTTTGGTAATATCTACGAAAACATGAGTGGATTTACCTTTTGAGTCATCAATGATACTTTGGGATTTAGTCTACAGATACACTTGGAAATGTGAGAGCCGATGTAAATTCAAAGACGGCTGTTGCAGAAATGTGGGCAAGATAAACACTATTTGAAACCTAAATACTTATAAGTGAGGCCTGGTTGATGAAGTGGAACCAATGCATACAATGAAATATGGGGTAAAGAATGAATGTAAGCCCATAAGGTTGAATAATGCAAGATCTCCAAGATAAAGGAAAACACACAAAGTATGGCGCAGCATGAATGATGGGCTTCATTTATGTAAACATGTAGCACGTGCACAAATGCCCCAGATGCTTCCCTCTTTCAAGATTCTGTCTTGGTCTTTCTAGAATATTTCTGGAGAGACCTAAGAAACCTCAAGTGAGAGGGAGTGGAGGGTCAGTGTGGGAGGGAGCTGCTCATATCGTAATCATGATAGACCCTTTTGTTGTATTCCCTATTTTCACAAATTATTCTCTCAACTGAACTTTTTAAAAAGAACATGTTTTGATTTGAGGGAAAGAATTGTTTTGTCTCCCATCTAGGTTTATTTGGTGTGCTGGGAGATCTAGAGGAAAACTCTTGGGCTGCATTACTTTTTGTCAAGTATGTCAATGGGTATTGACTGCTTTAGGGATAGATTGTGAAATGTATTATCCATGTCAACAACTTTAGGATGAATAATAAAGCACGCACATATACATCACTCCCCTTGCTTAAGACCTTGGCGATGCCTTCCTTGGAAACACCCTAGGTGTCCTTCCTTCCCTCTGGCCCAGCAGCTCTCTGCGCTGGGGATTAAGAGGCAGTGTTACTGTTCCTGTGGAACAGATAAGAACACAGAGGCTTAGCCAGGTGCGTCATTTACTCAAGGTCACACAGCTTGCTCCTTGAAGAGCAGGATCACCTCCAGATTTCCCCTTCCAGGAGGAATGCACGTTCTATTACGGCTCTGGTGATTATCTGCACACTAGATAGGAAAAAATTCTATTCACTGTTTTCTGTCATTTTCAGAAATGAATGTAATCAGCTACACTATGGACAAAATTTATTGTCTTAAAAAACGTGTAATTGCTCATTGAGAGGACCATTCAAGACTTCCCAATGCTTCATTTGTTGCCTGGGGGATTGCAGGAGAAGAAGTAGTTTGAAACAACAGAAGCATCAATAGAGAAAATTAGTCTTTCTCTTTCACACTTGTCAGTGGTCTGGGGTGGGCAAGGCTTCTGTAAAAAAATGAGGCAGACTTTTTTGTTTCCTGGTCTTTTGGCTTAATGCATATATTAAACATTGATTTAGATATTTACCAGTAAATTGCATTCGTCTTTACTGGGGAATATTATTTTAACAAACTTGGGCTATGCAAGATTGTATATAGGTAGGGCCATAACAAAGTCAGGCTTTTTTTGCCTGATAATAATTAAGAATTTAGATAAAAATAAGAAAATCCAAATTTCAAATTCACAAAATCTAGATGGTCAAATAAGAGCCACATCTGGCATTGAAGGTTTCCTATGTAGCTTCCTAATGATATGAGAATGTTGAAGCTAGAAGAGGCCTTAGAGCTCACTGTTTTGGGGGCTGGGAGTGGGGTGGGTGGGCATGATCTGTCCCTGAAGAGGCCCTACCCCCTCTGGGGAGCCATCGCCAACTCTCCCACCTCCCTTTGCTGCAATCACCCTGGACATCGTCTCTAGTCTTTGCCTTACCTGTATGCCATGCCTACATCTTCACTAAGGCCTCAGCTTAAATGTCACCTCATCAGGAAGGCTTTCCCTGACTCCCCAACCAAAAGTAGTCCCCGCAACCCTTCCCGATCACCTCACCTGACTTCTATCTTTGTGACACATCATTATTCACTCTTACTTTGTATGCACATAACTTATTATTATGTGTGCACATAAATGTGTGCATTTATGTATTACCTGCCTGTGCTCCCCAAACAATGGAAACACCTTGAGAGCAGGAGCACTTGTGGTCCATTCAGTCTGTATCCCTTGTTCATAGAACTGAACCTGGTCCAGGCCTAGAAATTTTCCACTTCAGGGACAGGGTTCAAGGAGAAAAGCACATCATTGCTTTCCAGAGAAGAGCTCACCTCAAGAGAAGGGGACAGGAAACTCTGAGCCCAGGTTTATGCTGTAAGACTCCACTAGTATTAAGGAGTAGATGAGGCACAAGGAAAGGTCTGTAGCAATTGTGGGGGTTGCTCCCTCCCAATCCAGCCACACTGACTTGGGGACATGCTATATGGGAACAGTCACTGTCATCTTTAGTGCAACATAAAGAGCTAGAGAGCTCAGGCTTAGTACAGCCTGGTCAACATGTCACTGAGGAGGTGAAATCACAACCCCCCAGAAGAAACACTGGGCCCACCCAGGTCACCTTCCCAGTGAGAAGATCAACGTAGCAATGGATGGAGCACGTCACACAGCATGGGCACTTGGCTTCAGCGCTGATAATATGTGGCAGCGATGGCAGAAAAAAGTCAACCACATAAACTGCCAACCCCTCAGATAGAAAACTAATGAAAGTGGAACTGCTCTAGGTGAACTGAGGTGGGGTTGGCTTTCGTTATGTTGGGGCAAAAAATAAATCATCCTGCACCCCTCTGGATTCTTCTCCGGCTGGATGAGCAATCAAAACATCAGAGGGGTTAGCTAGGGAAAAACAAAGAATTTAATGAAATATGTATGGAGAATTCACAGGGTTGTACATTCTCAAGAACAATGGAGGGGATCAGGAATATTTACGAAGCATTTTAGGAGCTGGGGCATCAGGGACAGACGGGGTGGGGGCGACGTCACATGACAGACAAGGAGGAGAGTAAAGATGAGAATCTTAGACAGAGAGAACCTATATACTGTTAAACCCAGAACTGGCTGAGACCCCAGGCTACATTCTTCTGCCTCAGAATAGGGAGAATAGTAGCCACTGCCTCACT